ACATCTACATGCCAATATTGAGACACAGTCATAGCGCCACCTGCTGACAGGAGAAAGTTAGGCATAAATCTGTGATTTTCTCTGGTTCTTTTTATATATCGGCTTAAGTTATTATTGTTCGCTGTTCTTTGTCATCCGGAGGCCACCGGCGGCGGTGAGCCCGGGTGCGAGGTCCCTATCATCGCTGCTTGCAGCTTTAATTAATTTTTATATTTCGTACTGTCCTTCTGTTACTATTCAAAGTGTTTAAACTGAAAGATGATAAAATGAGTGTTTAAATCTGACTTTTTTCTTATTTTGACACACTTTTTAGGGACCAAAATTTAATAGAAGTTTAAGAGTGCAGTTTTGACTTGGACCATCAAGCAACCCACATAGCAACATTCAGTTTAATAACAAATAAGAGTTCATATTTACAACCAGTTTGCACCAGCACAAAGTTATTTAAAAGTCACATTTGTGAACAAAATACAAGCAATGAAATGTATGAACAGTTATTTTGACAAATAAATGAAAAGATCAAGATTTGTAAATGCACACATCTGATAGATAGACAAGCATACGTTGCTGCTATTATGTAATGCAATCAGTTTCAGAGAGCATTTGTGCAATGGCAAACACTGTTTAAAGAAATAGTTCTAAGAATTGTTCTCCAAATAATTCAGACCATGAATCTCTAATGTAGAGAGTATAGTAATAAATACCTGTATATCTATAACAATAACAGTATAAACATATTTTCCAACTAACAAATACTGACAGAAAGTTCAGATATTTATATGTTTCAGATATTTGGAAAACAACTTTAAGCATATCAACTAAGCTAGCATAATGTAAGTAAAAAGGTATGTCTAGCTAGCTAATTTATTGCAATCTATCAACTTAGCAAAACTTATTTCTAACATGCTAAATTGCAATAAGCATGGTGGCTAAGTTGTTAGCATGGTCTCACAGCAAGACCCGGCTGGACCAGGAGGTGTTTCTGTGTGTGTTTGCTCTGGGTGCTCTGTTTTCCCCACAGTCCTAAGACATGTGATGTAGGAGTGTGAATGAAAGATGGTGTAGGTGTTTCCAAGCACTGGGCGTTGTACTTTCAGTACTCTTAAAATATTGATTCTAACAAACCATGGTACTCAACAAGTGGAACCTTTCATCAAAATCTCTGACAATTTTGAAAAACTTTTTTGATCCACTTGAAATGTGGACTACTGTATGCCCCTAAAACAGGTAGTGTATCCTCGCCTTAGCCTGTAGCATGATGACATACTGGATCTGGTATGTGCATGTTGCGAGGGGTTGTTTTGCCTGAAATGTGAATTGTTTGTATTAATTATTAAATTACCCATTATATTTTGTATTATTAACATCTACACATACCCCAACCCTTAATCCAACCCTCAAAGTTATTAATGCCCACACACCTACCCCTAACCTAAACCAAACCCACACAGTTATTAATGCCCACACCCACCTTGACCCCTAAACCAAACTCTCACATCTATTAATGTCTACACCTACCCAGACCCTAAACTCAACCCTTAGTTATTAATGACTACATCTACCCCTATCCTAAACCCAACCCACAGTTATTAGTCCACAACTCCCCTGACCCTAAACTCAGCCTCACAGTTTTTGACTACACCAAACCCGACCCTCCCTAAACTCAACTCTCACATTTAATAATGTCTATACAACTAACCTTTCCTAAACCCAACCATCACAGATATTAATGTCTACACCTAATAAGATCCTAAACTCAACCCACACAATTAATGTCTACACCTACCCCAACTCTAAAGTCAACCCTCACATTTCTTAATGTCTACACATATCCCTACTCTTAACAACCCAAACTTAACCCAGCCCTCAGTTAGTCATGTCTACACCTAGCCTAACCCTTAACAACCCAATTCTCAGTTATTACTGTCTGCACTTAACCCAACCCTTAACACCCCGACCCTAAATTCAACCTTTACAGTTATTAATGTTTATACCTATTCCAACCCTAAACTTAACCCTAACAGTTATTACTGTCTACATCTTCCCCAACCCTTACAGTTATTAATGTCTACACTTATTCCAACTCTAAACCCAACCCTCACAGATATTAATGTCTACACCTACTCCAACCCTTAAGCCAACCCTCACAGTTATTAACGTCTACACCTACTCCAACTCTAAACCCAACCCTCACAGATATTAATGTCTACACCTACTCCAACTCTAAACCCAACCCTCACAGATATTAATGTCTACACCTACTCCAACTCTAAACCCAACCCTCACAGATATTAATGTCTACACCTACTCCAGCTCTAAACCCAACCCTCACAGATATTAATGTCTACACCTACTCCAACTCTAAACCCAACCCTCACAGATATTAATGTCTACACCTACTCCAACTCTAAACCCAACCCTCACAGATATTAATGTCTACACCTACTCCAGCTCTAAACCCAACCCTCACAGATATTAATGTCTACACCTACTCCAACTCTAAACCCAACCCTCACAGATATTAATGTCTACACCTACTCCAACTCTAAACCCAACCCTCACAGATATTAATGTCTACACCTACTCCAACTCTAAACCCAACCCTCACAGATATTAATGTCTACACCTACTCCAGCTCTAAACCCAACCCTCACAGATATTAATGTCTACACCTACTCCAGCTCTAAACCCAACCCTCACAGATATTAATGTCTACACCTACTCCAACTCTAAACCCAACCCTCACAGATATTAATGTCTACACCTACTCCAACTCTAAACCCAACCCTCACAGATATTAATGTCTACACCTACTCCAACTCTAAACCCAACCCTCACAGATATTAATGTCTACACCTACTCCAACTCTAAACCCAACCCTCACAGATATTAATGTCTACACCTACTCCAGCTCTAAACCCAACCCTCACATATATTAATGTCTACACCTACCCCGACCCTAAACTCATCATTCACATTCATTAATGTCTACACCTACCCAAACCCTTAACAACCCAAACCTCACAGTTATTAATGTCTATACCTATTCTAACCCTAAACTCAACTCTCACAGTTTTTAATGTCTACACCTATTCCAACTCTTAACCCAACCATCACAGTTGTTAGGCAAGGCAAGTTTATTTATATAGCACATTTCATACACAGTGGTAATTCAAAGTGCTTTTCATAAACAAGAATAAAAAAAGACAAGTATAAGAAAGTAAAAAAACAAATAATAAAAATGATTAAAAACAGGTGAAAATGTGTTAAAACAGGTTATAAAAGAATGAAAAAGAAAAGAAAGACATAATAGTGTGATCTGTTGGACGTAGCACAGTGCTCATTCAGTAAAGGCACAGCTAAACAGAAGTGTTTTCAGTCTTGATTTGAATGTGCCTACTGTTGGATCACATCTGATCATTTCTGGAAGGTAATTCCAGCAGCGAGGGGCGTAGTAGCTGAAAGCTGATTCACCCTGCTTTGACTGAACTCTTGGATTTTCTAGTTTATTTTATCCTAAAGATCTGAGTGATCTGTTAGGTTTGTATTCAGTGAGCAAATCTGTAATGTGTTGAGGTCATTTAGTTATTTATAGACAAGTAATAAAATTTATTCTGAATGTAACTAGGAGCCAGTGTAAAAACCTGAGGACAGGTGTGATGTGCTCTGATTTTCTGGTTCTGGACAGAATCCTGGCTGCAGCATTCTGGATGATCTGCAACTGTCTGACTGTCTTTTTGGGAAGGCCAGTGAGAAGGCCATTACAGTAATCCACCTTGCTGCTAATAAAAGCATGAACACGTTTCTCTAAGTCCAAGAAACAAAGCATCTATTTCTTGCAATGTTTTTCAGATGATAGTGTGCTGATTTTCTTACTGCTTTGACATGACTATTGAAACTCAGATCTGACTCCAGAATCACACCAAGATTTTGACCTTATTTTTTGTTGTTTGACCTTTAGAGTCAAGGTACGCATTATTAATTTCTACACCTAGCTCAACCCTTAACAACCCAACCCTTAGTTATGACTTTTTATTCTTATTCCAACCCCTAACAACCCAATCCTCACAGTTATTAATGTCTACACCTTCTCCAACCCTAAACTCAACCCTCACATATATTAATGTCTACACCTATCCCAACCTTTAACAACCCAAACCTCACAGTTATTAATGTCTACACCTTCCCCAACCCTAAACTCAACCCTCACATATATTAATGTCTACACCTATCCCAACCTTTAACAACCCAAACCTCACAGTTATTAATGTCTATACCTTTCCCAACCCTTAACCCAACCCTCAGGTATTAATATCTACACCTATCCCAACTCTTAACCCAACCCTCAAAGTCATTCATGTCTACACCTAGTCCAACCTTTAACAACACAACCCACAGTTATTTCTGTCTACACTTATCCCAACCCTTTACAACCCAACCCTGAGTTATTAATGTCTGCACCTATCCCAACCTTTAATAACCCAACCCTCACTGTTATTAATGTCTACATCTTGTCCAACCCTTAACCCAACCCTCACAGTTATTAATGTCTACACCTTTTCCAACCCTAAACTCAACCCTCACAGTTTTAATGTCTACACCTATCCCAACCCTCACAGTTAATAATGTCCACACCTACCCCGACCCTAAACTCAACCCTCACAGTTATTAATGTCTACCCCAACCCTCAGTCATTAACGTCTACACCTATCCCAACCCTAAACCCAATCCTCACAGGGGCATGTGCATTACAATGTCCACTACATAATAGGCCAGATCAAGTATGTTATCACGCTACAGACTGCAGTGAAGACATCTGGAAAACAGACCTTAACATTTGAGCTCAAAATGTTGTCAAAAAGACATTTCATCAGCTGAACAACATACTGATCCCGCACACCCTCAAGTTCATTCCTAACAAAAACAGGCATTATTTTTAGACATTTTTATTTTAAACATGATTTTCTCTTTTTTTTTTAATTTCTTTGTTCGGTGATCAGCTATTGATGTGCTGAAGCATGAGGTCATCTTCAGCGTGGTGCGTCTGGCTGCCACCTGCATCATCTGCCTGGGCTTCCTGCTGCTGCTGCTCCCTGAGGAGTGGGACACGGTTACCCTGCGCTTCCTCACCACCCTGGCCGACAAGAAGACGGAGGAGCATGGAGAAGAGCTCACAGAATCCAGCGTACACACGCGCAGCCGAAGTAGAGCCAACGGTGCCGTATCCATTCCCTTGGCATGACCTTTGACCTGTGAATGAGTAGCCAGCGATCAACATAGATCCAGCAGTTTAATTGTTTTTTAGAAGGGGGGGGGGGGGGGGGGAGTAAGAGAATAGTGAAGCAAAGGAAGGATGGTGTTTCTTTAATAATAATCAATCATGTCGCAAAGTAAAAAATGAGAGCATGCTGTCCTATGGGTCTCATTTATAAACATGGCGTATGCACAAAACTAGGGTGGAAACGTGGGTACTTCTCACGCTAAGGTTGTGATTTGTCAAAAACAAACCCTAAACCTAACTTGATGGGAGGCTGTAAGTCAATGGTCCCAAACTTAATTCCTGGAGAGCCACAGCTCTGCATAGTTTAGCTTCAACCACCTCCAACTCGCACCTGCTTGATAGTCTCTAGGGCTGCAGCCAAAACTGCTCACTACCAAGTAGGTACTGCATTTGGATTTAAACATACTACTCGGCAGTTTGAAAAGTACGTTCTATACAGTATAAGCAGGTCAGGGTTGGTGTAGACAATAAAAAGCCAGTGCAGAGCAATATGAATGGAATCCGGATGTACTACATTTGCCGTTTTGTCATGGTCACATGACCTAACCGTGTCAGTTGCATCGCTTCACTCCCATTCATGAGTTCTCTTGTGGGGCATCATGGGATAGTGCAACGTGCATGGATTCTTCGGAAGTAGTAGGTCATTCGGGTACTTCTCACATACTGTTTTTTTAAATTTTAGTAATTTGGACATACTCCTCAGCTCACATACTGATTTTAGCGTACTATATAGCATGGAAGTAAACGGTTTCGGACGCAGCCTAGTAGTTTGGAACACCTTGACTAGTTGGATCAGCTTTGTTTGATTAGGGTTGGAGCTAAACTGTGCAGAGCTGTGGCCCTCCAGGAATCCAGTTTGAGACCTATGCTGTAAGTAAACATATTTAACTTAAGTATACCCTATAAGCCATTATCAATAATAAATACATTCAAACTTATTCTGACGTACGTTAACTTTTAGGATGGTCTCTACATCAATTTTTATAAATGAGACCCCTGCTCTTTATTAGAGATTTGAGTGCTCTGAGAATAGCGTTTTACTGGAACGGGGATATTTACTGACAGTATTTTTTAATTTACAATCTAAATCTAGCATTATCTTCCCTGCCGTTTCTATGGGAAGTTACGCATCCATTCCATAGAAATGGACTTTCAGACTTTGGTCTCCTATTGCACGCCAGCCCTGCACCCCTGAACCTCTCGACTGACCCTCCCCATGGAATGTATTCTGTGAATATAGACTCTGTCAGGGCCAGTTCGGCTCACATGAATGCATTCAGAGATCGGATATATATGTCTATGAAATATGAGGAATATTTGCATTGTATGTAGTAGTGTAATATATGTAGGAGAAATATAATATGCTTTAATGAATAAGCTTTTCTTTTCCTTTTATAATAAAAGACAAAAATAAAGATCTACTTTGAAAACGTGCCTGTCATTTTGTTATTGGACTATTGGAGGGTATATAGTGCAAACATCACATTCTGCACAAGAAATCTTATTTTAGATATTTATGGACAAGCCACACTACTCATAATCCTGAAGCGATTTAATTATTAAAGTCACCATTATATAAGACAGTGGTTCTCAAAGTGGGGGTCGGGACCCCCCGAGGGGTCGCGGGGCAATGAAAGGGGGTCGCCTGGTGATTTCCAAAAATCTATTTATTTTTATTAAACCATAAGAATTAACATATTTTATCCATAACTATACTGAAAATAAAAATAGTCGTTTATAGTTACTATATACTTTATAGTTACTATAGTAGCTTATAGTTACTAGTTCTATTTGAATGCGACCCCTGGGGTAATAACATTATATTAAAGGCAGCAATAGCGTCAGATGCATTTTGATTTTATAACATCAGGTTAAACTTTCTGGCACATTTAAAGCACTGACACAAATTTAATTGGTGTGTTTGCGTCATTGCATGCAAGGTTTTTGTATTTATAACCACCTCAGAGGATATTGGTGGTCGCGAGTCACTGGCATTGTTATTTTGGGGGTCGCGGGCTGAAAAGTTTGGGAACCCCTGATATAAGAGACATAAATTAGAAAGCCTTCAAAACGAAATATGATGATCTCAATATATTATGTTGTTACCTGCATGGATATTTCATCATACATTCAAAAGACTGTTCAAAATTGAAATACATTTTAAAAGAATTGCACCCCTTTGAATAGTTTAAAAATTTGCTGTTTATGTTCTCATTCTCTGGCCATTTAAGATGTGGGTGACTTAATTTTGATACATTAAAGAAGTCTTTTGACTAGGAACCTGGTTATTCATAAAATGCAAGTCAATGGCATTCACAATTTTGAGTCAGAAACATGTACAGGTACAAAAAAAATCAACATAAAAAAATGATGACTTTCTTTCTTCAGATGAACACAATTACTGTTATACATTAAAACCTTTTGAGACCATTCAATACCATTGGTTTAGTTGTGCAAACTAAGTAAGGGGCCTAGTAAGGTCTTCCTGTGGGTAAGGTGAGGCCAGTCCACATAGGGCTAGAGTGGGCATAGCGAGGACTTCCTGGGGGCCAAGTGGCACCACTTTTCAAGTTATCCTGAAACTCTTGAGCAACACCTATTCTGGTCAGGATCATTTTGAAAAACTATTGATCCACATCAAATGTTAAATACTGTACACGAAAATGCCAGGAATGGAGGGCAAATTCTGTCTTTAAAATGTGCAGAAAGGGTTCAGACCTTCACCCCATTCTCTATAGCTTTGGTGGACTGCTCTATATTCTATGATCTGACCATGAGGTACAATTTAATTCATCTTTATTTCTATTGCGCTTTTACAATGTAGATTGTGTCAAAGCAGCTTAACATAGAAGATTATAGTACATTGAAACAGTGTCAGTCCAGTTTTCAGAGTTGAACTTCAGTTTATTGTGGGTTAATTTTCACTGCTAAAAGTCCAAACACCGAAGAGCAAATCCATAGATGCGCAGCTCCACAAGTCCCAAACCATACAAGCCAGTGTGACAACCTTGAGAGAAACCAGGTTCAGTTGGGCCTGACCATTTCTCCTATAGCCAAACTTCTTGTGCAGAAGCTGCAGGTGGGAGAGGTCACCTCATTCCCTCGTTTCTCCCAATGATAAACACACATGGACACCATCACAGTCCTTTGTCAGTTGCTCTGTGTAAATGCATATAATGACCTTGCTTTCTTGGAAATGTAATGAGATATTAGCTGACTGGACAGTCTGAACATCTTCTCTCTGCTGAAGGAGCCCATTAAATCAAATGAGGCAGAGAAAAAGAAGGGTAACAGGAGGGGAGTACACTGAGCACAGAGGAAGTCTTTAAATCCACATAATGGGCCCGGTTCATTCAGCCTGGAAGGTGGTGATAACACTCCATAAGCTGACACAGTTCAATCAGAAGATGTACAGTATTTTTTATGACCTTTTCAAAGGCCAAAATTCAGAGTCATGAGATTTTTAATATTTCAACAAGAAGTCTCTTATGCTGACTAGTGGGGCATTCATTCAAGTATCTTGGTGAAAACTGCATAAATACTTTTTATTTTATCATCTATATTCCGTATAACTTTAATTTAATGGTCATTTCAAGAGTTCACACTTAGATGTTGCTTGACAACTGTTAGCAGGTTTGGCATGCTGTCCCGGGAGAGAACCCTGAGCTCGGAGATAGTTGAGCCCAGGGATCCCGCCAGGTCCATAGAGCATGTGAGGGGAGTACGAGATCAGGTGGTTCTCGAGAGCTCCCCTTTTTAAAGGAGGAAAGGAGGAGAAAGGGGTGGATGGGGGGTTTCTTCGGAAAACGAAGATAAGGGAGTAATATCTAGCTAGGCTACTTAGAGTGAGTTAGGATAGATCTGATTGGCTAACTAATGAGTGTAGATAGGTGGCCAGCTGCAGTCAATTATATCACGTGCTCCTCTCGAAATTAGTTTAAAAACTTCACTCAATGCATATAGTTGATTATCAGTTATGAGTATTAGTAGACTAGGTTACTTTTGGCTTAGTGTAAGTTGGCATTTACTTGTCCAACAGTATCTTATAGTGAAGAAAATGTCTGTTGGTAGTTATTAAACTGTCAACTAATTCTCTTAACGAGAATTGGTTGGCATGTAGTTGGAAAATAAAACTTATAGTCAACAAGATCTTTAAAAGGAACCATCAAAATAAAGTGATACCATATATTCTTATCATTGTCCCAACTTATTTTTGCTTGGTTTATGAAGAAAAAACTAATTTAATACTTTAAAATAGCATAATTAGAATGCCATATTTTAATACCGGCCCACTTAGGTTCATTTTCTCTAAATCCGAAAACAATCAAAGACAAAGCGAAAAATACCACTAATTCTGTCAATCATCAAGCCTGGTTCCCTGAGCAGTCGCATGCCTGAGCAATCAGTGGAGAGACAGGCCCTCTCACTGCCGTCCAAGCATTAACACACAGTTATAAAGTAACCTGTGGGGACAGTCACCATGGAAACTTTCCTCATTACGCCAAAACGAGGAATTATAAAGCAAGAGAGAGGGGGCACACACCTGCCATTTCACAACACAACTTTGCCAAGAGTTTCATTTTGTAGTTCACAGAACTGAGAGGAAATAACCTTCTGTTCAGGTCAAGTCTTAAATTCACTGGAATATTTGCAAATGGACATATTTGAAGAATGCACACCCTTGCCAATATTAAGACAACCGGATACAACATTGGAATAGAGTAAGGAATTAGGCTATTGGTTGCGGCTAGTGTGGTTACTTAAGGTATTGATTTTGATATATAGTTTACCTTGGCTGGGAGTATAAATGGACCATGGGGAGCAACAGCTCCAGACCAAAGATTTGCCAAGTTGCACCATCTCATAGTCAACCAATAGAGGATAAACCTTCCCTGCTTCCAACCTCGCCATGGATGGTCACTGTTGTTAAAGACCCAGAGATGCAAGAGAAAGGAATTGTGGGACAGAGGAAACCCAACCGCCTGCCTCCTTTGACAGGAAGACCTGAAGTGCCTCGACTTGTTAATTTAGAACCAGGTCAGTACTGTGATATTATCTTTATGTTGAAGCTAAAAAGACATGAGATTTAACGTAATTTTTATTTTTTTCATTATTTAAATATTTTTTATATCCAAACTTTGTAGGCCAAGGCTGAGTCAGAAGGTTAAAAATGTACTAGCATACTACTATATTGTATTTACATTTCTTTTACAAAAGGGTAAGAGTAGCATAATTATAAGCTGTTCCAATTCAGGAGTTGTTTTGAGAGGCTGGACATTAGTTTGGGGCAGAACTGTCCTTTTGCTTGACCAATGATAAATGTGGGATATATTCTGGAAACATGTTTAAATAGTTACATTTTTGCAGTTTCTTTTGTTTTGCAGATGTCACTCTTCAGATTTAATGGTCGAACACATAATTATGATTTTATCATTATTATTATAATTGTATGTTATGTTAGGGGGGTAACAGTACATGTATTTGTCCTGTCACAGTATGGGGGTCACAGTTCGATTGAACGACAAAAACAGTCATCCAAATGTGCCAGTCAATGGAGTTTGGCAACAAAGACCACAGCAATGCAACAACTTAGAAGCCATTCACAAAGAAC